AAAAATATTATTTTATAATTCAAAAAAATAAAAAATTTGTAATAAAATATCTCTATTTAAAATTTTATATTTTAAATTTTAATACAATAGGAACAGTAAAACACACTTTAACATCGCATTAGATAAGAAGGGAAAGTAACTATTTACTAAGCTCAAAAGGAACGTTTGCTCACAAACCTTGTGTCACTGTTGTTTGGAGCTGCTGCCACGGCCTGGCTTATGGTAGTGAAGTTTCCGGAGCCGTCCTTGGCCACTATCAGGTCGAATTTGGTCTCATTCACGGGAGCCTGCAACAGTTTCCGATCTTTGGACTTCAACCATGTCGGAAACCCTTTCTTGACCCGACCGTGCTCTGGAGAAACCTCGGACTGCGATTTCTTGTTAAGGCCGGGAATTTTTTTTAGTATGACAAGAGAATTACTAACGTGGTGAGAAATGTTGAAGATGCCTCTCTTAATTATGTCCCTCACGTCCCCTTTGCTGTAAGCAAACCCATCAAGACAAGTGTACTGGTTGGTGATCGCCGCGCTGAAAATAGTCTGCAAGTTGTGGTAGTTCTGCGACACGGCTTTCCTGGTGGAGAGACCGGTGAGACTCTCCCTCAGGTCCGCCATGGTGTAGCTGAGGAGCTCAAGGCAGTCGTCTACAGCTCTCTTTTCTTGGATGTCCAGAGCCTCATTCCTTTCGATGCTGCTGCAGTTATTAGAGGAGGCTCTTACCTCGAACATGGTTTGGTTAACGGTGGCAGCGACGAGCTCCGGGAGGGATTTGGAGGAGAGATCCGGGATAGAAGCAAGGGTTGAGACGCAGAGGTCACGGTACAATGTGCCTTCGCAAGCGGCATGAGCGATTTGGAGATGGTTGTGGACATGCAAATGTCGGATTTTTGTGGGTTTTGTGGTGTTTTTAAGAAGGGTTATTGATAGAAATAGGATCAGGACAAATACTAAAATGGGTATGATACGTTGGACGAGTTTGGTTCTTCTTGGAGCATACATAGTGAAGGAAAGAGATAAAAAACAGAGAGTTGAAACACAGAGACAGAGAGAAACAGGGGAAGGGATATGTTTAAATAAGATGGTTGATTGGAGTTAATGGTAATGGGTCCTGGTTTTAGAAAGGATTGCATGAGATAGAAGGAAACTTGATTGCTGGTTGATAATTGATATTACTCCCTACTTTTTAAACTAATAATTTTTTTT